AAAGTACCGTTATCTCTAAAACATATCGATATAACGGTACCTCATCTTACGTGAATGTTTGTAGACAACATTTGGGGCTTTCCTTTGATATATGTTTGAAAGCTATAACCCATGAAATGCAGGTGTTATTTAAGTTTAAAGTTATATATTTTCGTAAATTTTGATTTTTATCATATGTTATTATAAATCTCAAGTGCTTATTATTTGATATGGTCAATATGGGTATCAGTGGATAGGTCTCTGAAATACCTTTCAATTGATGTATATTGTAACTTATATCATTAACCCATTGAGAGCCAGCGACAATTTGTATATAAATTTCTTTTATTGTTTTTACAAAAGTACCGTTATCTCAAAAATAAATCGATGTAAGGGTAACTCATTTAACATGAAATTGTAAAATATTTGGGGCTTTTTTATAATATACGTTTGAAATTTGTAACTCATGAAGTTTAGAAGTTTTTTAAGTTAATTTAGAAAGAATGCATAGGTGAAATAAATTATTAAACAAAGAAGTGGGTAAGTTGTTTCACTTTTTGATGAAATAATTGAATAAAAATATTTCACTTTTTGATTAAATGATTTGAAATTGGTAAAAAGTTGTATAATTTTTTTGAAATAATTTTTATTTTTTGGTGAAATTATTGATTTGAAAATGAAATAGCTGGAAAGCGCCGCAGGCGAAAAATTATTTCAAAAAAATCGCGCGATTTTTTATGTATGTATGTATGTATGTATGTATGTATGTATGTATGTATGTATGTATGTATGTATGTATGTATGTATGTATGTATGTATGTATGTATGTATGTATGTATGTATGTATGTATGTATGTATGTATGTATGTATGTATGTATGTATGTATGTATGTAGTTGCGTGATTCAAATAATTTTTAAACTGAACACATTACAATTAACCAAAATATATTTGAATTACGTGTGTTCACCCTGTTTTAAACAAGACGATTATAAATTCTTCGATTTTTTTGTCGATTCGAAAGTTACAAAACACAGGCACTGGCTGTTAATAGGTTGATATAAATGATATGGACCATATTATATATCAATCAAAAGATATTTCAATACCATTGCATTGATATCCATATCGAATAATAAATAGTCAATCTATACAAATGCATTCCATAAAAACCAAAATTTTTTTAAAATATTAATTTTTAAAGTTATCTAACTTCTGCATTTCATGAGTTAGGTCTTTCAAACATACAACATATGAAAGCTTATAATGTTGTCTATAAGATTTCATGTGACATAAAGTACCTCTATATCGATTTATTTTTGAAATAATGGTACTTTTGTAAAGAAAAATAAATAAAAATATATACAAATTGACCCTGGCTCTCAATGGGTTAATGATATAAGTTACAATATACATCAATTGAAAGGTATTTCAGAGACCTATCCACTGATACCCATATTGACCATATCAAATAATAAGCACTTGAGATTTATAATAACATATGATAAAAATCAAAATTTACGAAAATATAAAATTTTAAACTTAAATAACACCTGCATTTCATGGGTTATAGCTTTCAAACATATATCAAAGGAAAGCCCCAAATGTTGTCTACAAACATTCACGTAAGATGAGGTACCGTTATATCGATATGTTTTAGAGATAACGGTACTTTTTTAAAAAAAGACAAATGAAAAAACAAAAAAATTCACCCTGGTTCTCAATGGGTTAATGATATAAGTTACAATATACATCAATTGAAAGGTATTTCAGGGACCTATCCACTGATACCCATATTGACCATATCAAATAATATGCACTTTAGATTTATAATTACATATGATAAATATCAAAATTTATGAAAATATAAAATTTTAAACTTAAATAACTCCTGCATTTCATGGGTTATAGCTTTCAAACCTATATCAAAGGAAAGCCCCAAATGTAGTCTACAAACATTCACCTAAGATGAGGTACCGTTATATCGATATGTTTTAGAGATAACGGTACTTTTTTAAAAAAAGTCAAAGGAAAAAACAAAAAAATTCACCCTGGTTCTCAATGGGTTAATAATATTTGTCATCTAACACATCAGTGGAAAGCTCTGTCAAAGACCTTTCCAATGATACCCATATCGACCATATCCGTTTATCAGTGATCGAGATATATCCAATTATATATCAGACCTTTGGAGGCCCATAACTCCCGAACCTTAATAGAGCGGATAATTTTTTTTCCTTTGTTGAAGTCACAAGAACAAGTACTATCATGTGGTATAAACAAAAGTTTTAAAATCAGCTGGATCAGAACGCTTAATTTATACCAAATTTTGAATTTGTATGGGAAAACTAAATAAATTTTAGTAGTTTTTCAAACAAAAACTCAATAAAGCCAAAAACTACTAGCTTTTACTTAGTGTATAGGGCATATTAGTTTTTTAATTAAAAAGTAGATTTTTTGTTATAACAATTCCGCTAACGTTGTAGTCAAATTGTATTTCAAATATTTCTAGTTTATTTTTAGACATTTTTATAAAAAAAACAATTATTGCATTTCAGAATTTTATATTTACATTCCAAAATTTTCAAAAGTATTTTAGAAGTTTCCTTTTGTATTGCGGAAATTTCTATTTGTATTTTAGATTAAAATTTTTTATATATTTAGAATTTATATACATTTTAGAAATTCTAGTTAAAATTTTAAAATGCAATTAGTAAATTTTGATATAAAATTAGATATTTCTAAAGTACAATTTTAATTTAAAATTGAAATAAATTAAAAATTTATGAAAATTGGAAAATTCAATTGAAAATTTTGGAGGAACAATTGAAATTTAACATTAAAATAAATTGGAAAATATGGGTACTAGAAATTTAAATATTTTTGTTAAATTTGTAGATATACGTTTAGAAATAAAAAGTTTTGAATGGTTTTAAAAAGTTTATAAATACCGACCGTATTCCAAAACAAAAAAATTAAAATACCTTTAATAAATTATTTTATAATATATCAAAAATAATTTCGTATATTGTTGTTTGAAATTGTTTTCATTTAATTCACTTCCCATCCTTGATGAGTGCATTTAAATATATAAGAATTTGGCAGCACTGCACATTCAGTCTGCAAAGAAAAGAAAATACTCATTTTCTGCACAAAAAACTTAATTTCTGCAAATAATACTCATTTTCTGCACAAAAGAGTAATTTTCTCCCTCTCTCCCATAATCGAGTAAAAAAAGTTTTCCAGCCAGAGTTTGTTATCTTCTCGTGGCTATTCTGCTCTCACAGCATAAAGATCGTGTGCGATTACTATCATACATGTTAAGTGTTGCCACTTAATTTAATTTTTTATATTTTAATTTATTCGAAAGTAATTGATTTTTTTCAAATGTTAGCTTATTAAAATTAAATTATTTCTTTAACAAAAAATAAATTACTACAAAAAGGTCTAAAATTTGTAGCTAATGGTAAAAAAATTATGTAATTATAGTATTTAAGTAATGTTTTTTTTATAAATTAAGAAAATATCTACTTAAAAATTAACACAATAGTCAGTTTAACAAATATTTAAAAAAAGATTTTAATTCGTTTAAAAGATATTTAAAACAATACATTAAGAATTATAAAAATGGCAGCTCTTATACTCATTAGCAGTCATGCCTTAAAAGTCACCATGTAAACATTCAAGATTTTACGAAGGGCATTTAAAAGAAAATAGAAAAAAGGCATGCCTGAAAAGTAACTTCTAAAACAGCACTTATTTTGTTAAATCAACTGTTACTGCCTATATTAGACAAATATTTATTATGCTAAACAGGTACAGACGGCATTTGTTAGCGTTATAACGTCGTTATGACAGTGTTGTCTAAACAATTGTTTAGAAACGTTGTCTTGATAACAAACGTCATTTTATTGTAAAATTTGTTTAGAATTTTGTTTTTGTGCAATTAAAATTGATTTTTAACATAAGTTTTAGTGAAATTAGTGTTTCTTTACAAAATTTGCATTTAATTTTAATTGTTTTTATAAAATATGGCATTATTTCAATAAAATTATCTGTGAATTGTCGTGATAAAATCAGCATTTTGTTACCCCTATGCATTAACATAAACAAAAAACTGAAAATTTTTCTGCCGACGTTTGGCAAGTGCCGTGATAAATATTTGTCTAATATAGACACGGGATTACGATATGTTTCTTTTTCATCGGGTTGTTTTCTTAAGGTGGAAGTACACAACACGCGTTGAGGCGGCAATGCGTTTCACGCTTTTCGCACTTTATAAGCGGCAAGTTACACACCACGCGTCATTTTGATTTCTCTTTTGTTTTTCTCTTTTGAATATTACTTTTTAAAAATCTAAATTTAAAGTTTTTGTATATTTTGAAATATTTTTCTTCCATTGTTGAAGAAATTTATTTCACATTAGTTTATTGTTATTCTACACAAGACAAAATACAACCCTGATCAGCTGCCGACGTGTTAAAAACTACAGTGTGTAACTGTTAAAGGGCCCTTCAGACGATCACACTTTACGTACGACAAGTCTAATGAAAAAGTAAAATTAAATTCCATCCGTATGACAAAAAAGAGAATAAAAGTCGTATGATTTATATATTTCGTGTTTACACGATTGCTATAAAACAATAACAAAGTAAGATGGAACATCTGTTTCACTTTTTTTCTATGTGTTTACATAAAAATACATCCCTGATCTAATGCGACTTGCTTGTTTTTTGGATCATATCAAAAAATGAAGACAGCCGTACGACTGTCAAATTTTCCATCCGTATTTTCTCTAAATGTGCAATGGTTTCATTACATATTGCGTTTAGACGATCCCATCCGTTCTCTTCTACACAAAATTTTGACAGATCATATTACTTGTACGCTCGTGTGAAGGGGGCTTAAATGAAAAGACACTATTTCAAATTTTTTTGACAGAAGCCTATAACGCGATGCCGCGTACAACGCGTTGTTTGTACTTTCACCTTTTACTTATGGGCGTACATAAATAACATTTTCCTGCAAGATAATCGACTTAGCGACTTTGATGAGAATAGTCGACTTCGACTTTTTGAACAATGTTGATGGTTCGAAATTCGTGTTTTAGAACCCTACTCACTATTTACTTTTGTTAATTAATGAATTACTTTCATTTCCGTCGTGGGTATCTTCACAGACGTGCTGTTTTATTATTACATATATATCAAGAAATAATAACATATAAAAGTGTGTTTTGAAATTAAGAATTTTTAAAACATTTGTGTATTTTTGCTGGTTTACTTATATAAGACTATTATTATTTTGTAGATTATACAATGGAAGAATATGCTAGAGAACCATGTCCATTTCGTATAGTTGATGATTGTGGCGGTGCTTTTGCAATGGGTTGTATTGGAGGGGGAATATTTCAAGCTATTAAGGGTTTTAGGAATGCTCCTTCTGGAATGAATAAAAGATTGGTGAGTTGTTAATTTTAATAAAATGCTTCTTCTTAAGGGATAAATGATACACATTCATCTTTAAACCATGTACAGTGTCTCTCATAAGTATTCGAATTTAGATAATATGAAAAGAAACCAAATTTAATAATATATTTTGTGTGCAAAATTAATAAATTAATTTGTTAAGTTGTCTAGACAGTATTTAGCTTTGCTATCACGCTTTTTAAAACTTTAAATTAAAATGTCGATTTTTGGCAATATGTGTATTTTTTTCTCCTTTTTCCCAGAGATAAAACCAAAATTTGTTATTGGGATATAATATACCCTTGGGGTATCTAAAAACAATATTTTTTGTTAAAAGAATCTGTATTTAAAAGTTCCAAGATATATTATTGGAATCATTCTTCTATCGCTAATTCAATTTATTGGAACTCAAGTCCATTTTTATTATACTAGGGTCAAAATTTTTCGGGGAAACTTGTCTTCTATATATTGTTTTAGACATCAGCTGTTATACATTTTAATTTTTCAATATATTGTGGAAGTGTACAACTCCAAAGCATGCCTCAAAGAAACGTCATTCAATATAGTGGAGTCATTCTTTTTATAACCAATGGCCTCTAGGCAGAATGTCACCATATCATTATGGTCTAACTCAAAAATATTGATATCTGTTTAAAAATTATCTACTATGATCAAAATAAACCCAAAATTTTGGACATACTGTGTTGTTGTAATGGGCGACATAATCGTGAATGTTATGAGTAGTAAAAATTGAAATCTACTGTATAGAATAACGTTTTGTTAAGGCATGTTTTGGAGTTGTATACCGCTACAATGTCTTGTAAATTTAAAATATATTAGTGCTAATATCTACAATAATATATAATAGACAACTTTGTCGGAAAATATCGATCCTAGTGGTACGAAAAGCACTTAAGATCCAGATAATTCAATTAGAAACAGAAGAACGATACCAAAAATATATCTTGGAATGTTTAAGTACAGATCCTTATAACAAAAATTATTATTTTTAGATACTTCAAGGAACCTATCCAGTTATTTAACCCTACTGCAGTACCTGTCCATTGGACTATCTACTTGGGGACACTTGACTTTCTCCTAGGACACGTCAATTGCTAGTAATGTAACTAGTAAAACAGCTGACTCCCAAGAACCCATTTGGAGATTTCCATCCATTGACTACCTCTTGAAGTGGTTGTTTCGGGACTGTCCCGTCGAACTGCTGCGATAACTCAATATTCGGGATTTTTCAACTGTGTATTACAAAATATGCGTTGCACAGTGGATCCTTCTATGAGATGGCGGTCAAAAAAAAAATTAAATTATTATATTTATGTGGAATATTGTACTGTTTTTTGTTTTATTCATTAACCAGTGCCTCGTTTCTGTAACTCTGGCATCGAGAAATTTCTCGCATGAAACAGTGAAATTGAAGAAAAAACAATGTGAATTGGAACAAAATATAATTTCTCACATGCAAGTGTTTCTGTAATTTCTTTTTGTGAGAACTATCTGTCATTTAAGTTTTTTGACGTAAGTTATTGGAAATTTGTGAGTAAAAGTGTTTCTGTAAGAAAATTTTGTGAGAAGTTTCTCACATGAACTGTCAAAAAAACTCACATTTTAAAACGGTGCGGAAAGTAAAATTTTAAGGAAAAAAAGTTTAATTTAAACATAAATTCTATAAAATAATGAAAAAGTAATGATATTTTTATAATTAATTAACATTAAAATTAATATTGTCCACTAATTTTTAGAAAATTGGAGGAATTTTCGATATACAGAAGCAAAAGCAGAAAAAGTATGTGGGAATAAACTTAGAATTGGCTAAGGGAGAATTTATTGTGATAATTTTTTGAACACATTTTATTTAATTCCTATATTTTTGTTAATTTAATCATTGTTTATAAATTTGTCTGGCAATTTTTGTTTTCTTCTTTTTATTTTTATGTTTTTGACAGCTGTTTTATTGGAAATATCCAATAAAAACGTAATTCGTGTTGCCTCTTCTCACTTTAAGTTACAGAAACACTTTTTACTCCCAAATCGAGAAACCATGGAATTTTTTGTTTCACACTTCTCGATGTGAGAACATCTCACTAAAAGTTACAGAAACGGGGTACAGGATGTACCATGTTAACTATAAAATAATACACAAAATTCCCATACATATGATTTAAGGATACTGTTTCAGTGTAAATGCACAAAAAGAATAAAACACAAAGGCTTATTAGTTTAATAAAAAGGAGAAGAATTGTCTTCCTTTATTTGATATTTTACCATTTGATTGAATGCACACAATAAGTGCTCTATAAGGCTTCTAAATGACGAGTTATAAACAACTACGTATTTCTATGTATAGAGGCTAACAAAGTTTTAATACAGTTAGCGGTTAATCGTTGAAATAATAATAGTTTTCCATCAAAGATGTAAACTAAAGTATTAAATGATTAGGATTTACACTTAGAGGAAAATTAAACGGCCGGCTTAAATTGCAGGCCCCCTTGCAACACTTAAGATGTTGTAACTGAATAAATGACGAGTCATTAAGGACTCCCGTAGACTGTTTTCTCCAAATTAAAATCAGCCATGATAAGACTCCAGTTTTTTTCTACTTGGGTCATTATGGATCCGTTTGAGCCATGATGAGACTCTGGTTGAGCCATTTAGAAACTCAGGTTGAGCCATTAAGAGACTCTGGTTGAGCCATGATTAGACTCAGGTTGAATCACTAAGGACTCTTGCTGAATTAAAAGAAATTTAGGGAACGGTTAGTAAAGTTGTTTGCACGTAGTGCCTTGTCGTAGACGAAATGAAAATTAATGCTTTACAACCAATTTTAATTAGTTGCGGTTCTATTACAGATTGATAAACTAACTAGTTCCTACATTATTTGGGTTCATTACGTTTCCATGTTGGAATGTTTCTATTTTTAGTTGGCCTGTATCTTTCCTTCGTAGGAGATGAATTAATACTATTTACAGTACCGGTTAATATCCAACCAAATACAGTTTTTTGAGCCACGTTAAAAATCCATTGATTCCGCGCTGTAACCTTTTCAATGAGGAACTACTCTCCTCTGTTATTGTCTTCAAAACAAACATGCACTTTAATTGATTATTAACTAGCATTCGAGGATTTTCGTATGTATCTTTTAAAATTTTCCACGCTATATCAAACCCAGCATTAGTCAACGGACATTTAGATACAATTTCTCTCGCTTCGTTATCTGTCCTTTTCACTAAATAACATAATCACTCGATATTACTAAGCCGACTGTTGTTAATATATAAAGCTGTGTAAAGATCCCTAAATGTAGGCCATGAGAGATAATCGCCATTGAATATGTCCGTATAACATGGTGGAAGTGGGAAATTATGACATAACATTTTAATAATTGTTTAAAGGAGGGGAAACTGTAGGTTTCGACATTGCTTCCAATTCATCAGTCTTAATTTTTATCGACTTTGAACACCGCGCATTAATAGGTAATAGGTGATGGAGATTCAATTATAAATGAAAGAGCATTATAAGAAATCACGCTAATGCGTGATTTCTTATAATGCATACCACGCTAAGCGTGGGATGCTTTCATGATAGCATATGAAGACTCTGGACTTATAAGGAAGGTTGAATTCCTAAAACAGTTAGTAAATATAAAAATGAAGAATTTCAATTCTGTGCAAGAATACGTAAATGAATTAGTGATTATTGCATTAAAAGTGAAGAATGCAGGTCTTAATGTAGATGACGAATTAACTTCATCTTTGATGTTAGCCGGTCTACCGGAAGATTACAAACCATTAGTAATGGCAGTTGAGAATTCGAAAGAGAAGTTAACGGTCGATATGGTGAAAAATCTCTTATTGCAAGACGCCAAATTTGATGGGAAAGCAGATAATGAAAATGCTTTATATTCAAAAGGAAATCGCAAGAAACAAATACAATGTTATAATTGTAAAGAGTTTGGACACAAATCAAGAAACTGTCAAATCGAGAAGAAAAATGGTATTGGTAAAAATAATAGCGATGATAAATTCAAGAACAGCATTCAAAATTCATTTACATTAATGGCATTGACAAGCAAAAGTGTAAACATCCATAAACATTTTAAGAATAAACCTGTCGACAGTGGAGCAAACAATCACACTATGTCCAAATGTACAATAAGAAATCGATTCAAAACAAAAAAGTGGTAATTGCTAATAATAGTGAATTGCAAGTTAATTGTTTTATGTATTGAAACAACAATATCTTTATTGTTAATTAATGATCTTTAATATTCAACAGAATGCTTTACAATAAAATATAAGTTACAGAATATTATGACAGTTGATTGATATTATGACAGGTTATTGCAACTCAAATATAACATAACAAAGATGCCAGATTAATACATAACATTTCCTCCCTCACATAGCCAATCATTCCGGTGTAAATATTATCTTGCGTCTTCGTAACCTGGTGGACCTACGTAATGGAACTTGTTCTTCCTGTCCTATATCGTTCGGTTCTGGTTCTGCAATATCCGTCTCACCTCCGGCATTAGCGTTGTTTTGTAATTGATTATGCTCATTATCCTCTCCCGCAGAGTTAAATCCCCGGAAGTTTGATTGCGGTGTAGAACAATCAGTGGAAGATGTAGCTTCATTATCAAAATAATTCGGTAGGGGTGTCGAAAAATTATTCGGTGGGTCATCAATCACGATTTCCCCATCTGAACGGGATGCGTTTGAAGTATCAAATTCCACATGTGACCGCCGTCTTCGTGTATTTTGTCCAATATCTGCAGATTGTGTTCCTTTTTCATTCGTTTGCACTTTTGAATCATCGCGATATCGAATTTGGTCAATGTGGCGCTTAACACGTTTGCCATCGTAAAGGATCTCGTAATGCAAATCCCCGAGGCGATTCAGCACTACTCCTGGTAGCCATTTATTTACACGGCAGTTATTTGACAAAAAATAGACATTCTGCATTGGTTCGAAACAGCG